CAAGTGTCAGTGGAGGGTCAGTGATTTATGACGTTTTTGTAATGTTACCGAAAATAGAGAAAATGTAATCCCTAAACCCTATAAGCATAAAGCCAAACACTTGGATACGTTTTCGTGACTATATCAAAAATAAAAATATATTTGAATAGTTAAACTCTATAAGTCACAAACACTTGAACTGTTAAATTTCCAATTCATTCGTTTTGCTAATTTAAAGCATGTATTCTACATGAATATAATTAAGAATTCACATTCGTACCTTTTGTAAGAATGACTTTTTCTCAAAACAATTAGAATCATCTCAGAAAGCACATTACATATTAAGGATTTATTTCATAACAAAGCTAAAAATTGGATTTCCAATATATAAGATGTAACTAAAGATTTTTTTTATAGTAGTTACCCACATTTAATCATATATAAAGTGTCTGTGACTTATAAGGTTTTGTGATTGAAATATGTAAAAAGATTTCCAGTAAAAACACAACATATTTGACGTTTTTAACTACTTTTTGTCTGAGCATTTTGCAACAGTTTTGTTATGAAAATAAGTTATCACAAAACAGTCACAGTTTTAGGACTACTTAGCGACTCTATATGAAGCGTTGATATATAGTCTTAATTCAGTACCTAATTTGCAACATATAAGCCACGATAAAATGTCGTCGTAAATAAGCGACCGTTGTGCTTCACCATTCCTTGTAGTCGTTAACAGGTCACACCATTGTCGTAAATGAGTCTCAAATATTTGTGACTGATTACGCAGTCACAAAATATCGTCACAAATAAACAGTTTTCTTGTAGTGTTTTTTGACAAAATATTATTATTTTTTTTTTAAATTCGTTTTAGTTACTCAAATTTTTATTTTTAATTTATACACAATTTATAAATAAAATCATAATAATAAACCAAAATAAAGTTTAAAAACAAAAATCAAATGTTACAAAATTACTAAATAAAAGTAAGTACAAAACCAAATCAAATAAACTAGTAAGGTAATCGATATCCTCTACTCAACTCAGTAGTAATATGATCACGTAAATCTTCCATGGCTCTATCACCTCTTGGCTCATATGGAATATGTCCACCATGACCATGACCATCATCTTCATCATCTTCATCTTCATCTTCATCGTCGTCATCATCATCATCATCATCATCATCATCATCATCATCATCATCATCATCATCATCATCATCATCATCATCATCATCATCATCATCATCTTCTTCTTCATCATCACCATGTGTATGATATTCTTCTCTTCTCTACCAACTTACAAAATCATTATCTTCTCGATGTGAATCACGTATGAAGTTGTGTAGAGCCATCGTTGTTGTTACTAGCTTTATCCATTTGACCAAACCATACTTTGGATGCCTACGGTCAAAAATTCTCCATTTTGCTTTCCACACTCCAAATGTCCGCTCAATCACAGATTGCATGCTTGAATGTCTCTGGTTGAACACCTCTCGAGTGTTCGTTGGCGGTCCTCCTCTGTTGAACTGATTGAGATGATACCGAACTCTTCGATACGGACCAAGATACCCTGTTCTTGTAGAATATCCCGCATCAACCAAATAATACTTTCCAGTTGGCGGATGTGGAAAAAATGCTCATTCCTCGCACAATAAGTCAATACCTTTGTGTCATGTGCTTTACCCGGGACACCCACATAAGCTTATATGAACTTCATATCAAAGTTACATATAGCAAGGACATTCATGGTCGGCTCCTGTTTTCTACCTCTGTATGCTGCTGCATTTTGCTTCGGAGGACGAACTGAGATATGAGTTCCATCCAAAGCTCCAATACAATCTCTACAAAATGGCCAGTATCGATCATCACCTCTCAAAGCAGGACATACTCTTGTGAACTCTCCATCTTCTGGTTTTAGTGCATCTGCAGCAAATTTCAAGAGAGCACTCAAAACCTCATTGAGTTTCCTTTTGACCGTATCCAACGAACGCTGATATCTTTTTGCAATAACCCGTAGTGTCTTATCTTGACCCACCACTTCAAGGAACATTGCAACCGCTTCTTCAATGTAGACATTGATCGTCTCTTGCAACCCATATCTTGTCGCTAACATCTTACACAAATCCTGAAATGTCCTCTGATTCATGCGAAGAATATCATAGCACTGTTGATATGACCCATGCATAAGCTACTGAACATGACGCCAACCAGCACCTCGATCTGTTCTATGAAGCAATCTCTCTGGCTTGAGCACATCAACTTCCTGCTCTTCCTCATAATAATCATCATCATCATCATCATCCAAGTACCACCTAACCATTTGTAAAACATAAAAATCAGAGTCATTACATTTAAAACCAACACGGTACTCAAAGTCATTAAAAAAACCCAGAAACCATTCATATTAAAACAGCCACTCTTAAAAGAAACAATCTGAGTCATATAACAAAAGAAATAAAACAAGAGTCATACGCTTAAAAGAAATACTACAATCTAAGTCATACTGAAACACACTACAATCCTTCATACATCTTAACTCCAATCATATTCTCAAGATATCTAATCTTATCATCATCACTAGAGAAAGACATACAAGCCATTTTGTTTCCTTCATCAGCTTTGAGATGGTTAACTGCAGCAATGTGAAATGGTGACCACTTTATCACTCCAGGCAGCTCATTAAGTATCTCCAACACAGAGTCCACACGGAATTTACGATCCTGCTGCAACACCACACGATCCTCTGCCATTATCTCTACCATCTTTTCAGCTATCTTATTTTTTTCAGCCAGAATTGCATTCCGTACAACATAAGACTCTTGATCAAATTCCTTACGCTTTCTTTTTGACGTTGAACATCCAGCTCTACTTGTTCTTTCTCTTGGTGCTGGCATATCAGTGTCAACTGAATCAGACTCATCATCCTTCTCTGCATCTGCTCTAAAATCTAAGCTAGCTTCTCCTTGCTGAGCACACCATCCTTCTGCTCCAGTTATAGTAACATCACCAAACTCTGCTTCAAAAACATCCATGTTTGGAGGCATTTTGTTCTTGTACTTTCTTGTACCTTGCCATTCCTGTTTAAGAGAAAAAAGTTAGTATACTTAAAGACAGATTGTATTTTTTCATGCTAGTATACTATTAAAGCAACTAAGAGAAAGTTACTTACCGCAATGCGTTGATCCCACCAAGCATCTGACATCTCCAACCTTCCCATAGCATCATAGACAAGCCCGTTCTATTATGAGTCAGTTTCTTAAAATTGACATAAGCTTTTCTACTAATTTCAACCTTGTTCTTAAACCTGTCCCATATCCATCTCTTACTAAATTTCTCTTCAAACTTCTTAATGATGAATTCTTTTCCAACTGAATTTATGCCACTCTTTGGTATGTTCCCTTTCTTTTTCTCATCAGCATAAAGAGCAAAAAAATACGGAACTTCTTCGTCGGTCCAACTCTAAATAACAAGTCACATTAATAGACAAACAAACAAAACTAGCACAAAAAACAATCACAAAACATCTAAAAAACTACAAGTGTATAAAACACTTACAACATCATTAGACATTCTTTTTGTCTTGTTGTGATTGCTGTCCAAATCTGACCAAGAAAAAGATAACATAAGTCATTAGTTCTAGCTCTATATGATAAAAAAGATAACACGGCAAACATAATAATTCATTAAAAGATACTCAAGTAATGCTTTAAGCCACTAAAGATATTTAAGCCACTAAGCAATCCATTGAACGTGTTTTTTTTGTCAACTAAGAGAAATTTGTTTGTGCTGTGTTTATAGTAATGAACAAAAGAATTAGCTTGACAGGACCAAACATATAAAAGAAAACAAGATGTATATACGTTCACATGGCTAGTAATAAATAGCAAAAGTTGTAGCGATAAATAAAAAAAGCTAGCCAGCCTCACAAGTCACAACCATAAAGCAAAGAGAGGATGTCTTGTCTTCTCATTCACTGTAATTACGGAAAACGCTATTCAAGCAACCCATATAAGGAATAAAAAAACCCAACAATCAATTTAGTTAATCTACTTTCTAGATCCTCACCATGTCTGTGGAATTGGGTTACACACAAAACTTGGATTCAGATTGTGGAGAAAAAAGCCCCAAATCGAACCCTAATTTTTAGAGAGAGGGAGAGAGGGAGAGAGAGAGAGAGAGAGAGAGAGAGAGAGAGAGAGAGAGAGAGAGAGAGAGAGAGAGAGAGAGATACCTTTGAGCTTTCCTGGTGAAGCAAGAGAGAGAGATGAGGGTGAAATCTTGGTGAAGAAACGGCGAAGAAGAGATGAAGGTGTGAAGATGAGGGTTTGATTTTGAGAGTATTGTAATTTAACCTTTTTTTTTTGTCGCGTGTTTTCTGATCGCGAACGCTAAAATTTCTAGCGACCCAAATTTTTAAACGCTGGACGCTAGTGTTTGGTCGCTGCGACCTGTCACTCAACCTACGACCACCAAACGAACATCGTTTCGTCGCTGATTCTGGTCGCTGACGCTAGCGACCACCAAACGAACAACGCCTACATTATCAAAAGGATCTATGATATGATCATCACTCAAGAAGAAATTTGCATAATTGTAACATTTTTAATTTTATTATGGATTTTCCATTTTTTCTAGAAAGATTTTTAATGAGTCAACATACATGATAAATAAATATGATAATCACACTAATTTATAAATGAGAATGTTATAAATATAGAGATATATGAAAGTCAAGAAAAAATACGTCAAATATAAAAATGTTCATATGAAAAAATTGTGTGGAGTTCATAATTAGTATATGCACACATTAATTTATTTTTTCACTTTTATATATACAAATGATTTCTTGAATTGTAACTCAATTTGAACCTTTTTTTATATGAATTTTTTTATCTAGTAATTTATCTTATATCAAATATATTTTTCTCTTATAAACATAAAATTTTGCTTTTATTTAAATATCTCAATACAATAAAATTATAAGTATTTTCGTATAAAACTTTTGAGAGATAGAGGCAAATGAAGATGGAATATCAGCCCATCAAACTTCCGAAGCGGGTGGGTAAGAAGTTAAGAGATATTTTTGTTGGTGGACATCAAGGGTTATATTCGTCTTCTTGACACCATCTTTCGCCTACTTCACCTTTCCTTGCTCTTTCTTCACACTCGATACGCTTCTCAGATCCACAGAGTCTCATATTTTCCTTGATCCCTCTTCATCTTGGTTTATGAGGTAAGGACTCCCCAACGAGCGAGACTCTCTTCTTCCCTCTTTCTCTTGCCTCGCGAAATCTTTCATTTGTTCAATAATCTTTGAAAGATTATGTATTTTCTCTTTTTTGGGTCTGATGTATTTGTCCCCTTTGATTGACCCATTACTGTTGATTTGAACTCAAGCTTTCTGATGACTAGGGTTTGTGAAAATTTTGGTTCCTTGATTTTCGATTGTTAGGGTTTCTCGTTTGATGAGGCAAATCTCGTTTTTCTTTAATCATTTAGTAACTATTCTCTTTGAGTTTGCTAATATGTTTGGTTTGGTTTGTTTTGTTGTGCAGCTCGAAGGAGAAACCCACTCTCGGGTAAGTCATCTGGACAAGTTGTGTTTGCCCTCATCGATTTCAACTGTTTTAAGCTACCTTTCTTTATCAACTCATGTTCTAAATCTGACCCGTGCCGTGTGTATAGTAACTCTTGTCTTTTAATTTGTTGTTTGAAACTAATCAGACCTTGACCTGGGCTATTCCTGCAGTTTCTTTCTTGATACACTTATAAGCTGCGCGTATTTTCATTTCTTCGTGTAGTAATGCTCTTTGTACCATCGTTTGATTTATGTTTGGAACAGTTTTTAGTGTTTTTTGTCTTTTTTGGAACAGTTTTTAGTGTTTTTTATTCTCAGTTAGAGGTGCGTTGATTTATATTTCATAACTACTGAATCTTATCTTGTTAAAAAATATGTAAACTGAGGAGGGGACTGTTTGAGTCATTCTTTTGACTTGAGATTCTACCATTATCTTTCTTTGCATAACGTGTGTGTTTATATTCTTTATCTGTACGAGCAGAGGTACGCGGATTAAGACCCGCAAGCGGAATATTGCTGCTCCTCTGGACCCTGCAGCTTTCTCTGATGCAGTAGTCCAGATTTACCTTGATAATGCTGGTGATCTGGTATGTTTTATGTCCTTACTACTTTTAATTATTGTCTAATTTTGATGTAAACTGATAGCTCTTGATTTAGGAACTTGTTGCCAAAAGTATTGAGTCAACAGATCTTAATTTCTCAAGATACGGTGACATCTTCTTTGAGGTAAACTTTCAACAAAACTTTATGGACAATTCATTGGCTCTCTTTTCTTTTCTTATTTTGCTTTCTTGTGGCTTCTATTGGTTCTTTGTTTTCCGTATCTCTTTTATGATTGGGGAGATCTTGTCTTGAAGGTTGTTTTCATAGGAAGACGTACACAACCTGGAACAGTGAAACCTGATGAGGGTGAACGCCATCCTTACTCTGTAATCGACTGCGAGCCCAAGCGTGAAGCCATTTTGCCATCTGTTGTCTATATACAGAAGATTCTGCGGAGGAGGCCCTCGCTCATAAAGAACCTTGAAAATGTTACAAGGAGATTCCTGCAGTCGCTGGAGCTTTTTGAGGAAAATGAAAGGAAGAAGCTTGCGATCTTCACAGCACTTGCCTTCTCCCAGAAGCTCTCAGGGTTACCTCCGGAGACTGTCTTCCAGCCTTTGCTCAAGGATAATCTTGTTGCCAAAGGGATAGTGCTCACTTTTGTAACAGACTTCTTCAAGGAGTATTTAGTTGAAAACAGTCTCGAAGACTTGATTTCTATTCTGAGGCGTGGCAAAATGGAAGACAACCTTTTGGATTTCTTACCACCTGTAAGGCGAACTGCTGAAAGTTTTGCTGAGCATTTCACGTGAGTTTTTCCTCCCTTGAAGTTTGTTTCATTTCAATATCATAGTTTGATTGATGCATCTTTGATCATTGTTCATTAATCTCTGATGCTGTATCCCTCTTTTGCCTAACTCAATTTTAGTTGACAAATAATTGTGTTTTGCCTTTTGGATTTTCAGGAAAGAGGGGTTGACCGATCTAGTAGAGTACCATTCAAAGAAAATGTTTGAAGTGAAACTGAAAGAAATCAAAACTGTTCTTACAAGCAAGGTCACAGAGGAAAGTAGTGTTGATGAAGTCATTGAAACGGTGAAGCAGCTTGTCAAAGACGCTAAACTCCCAGAGATTGAGGTTGTGCGTATCGTTTGGGATGGTTTAATGGATGCTGTTCAGTGGTCTGGTAAAAACCAGCAGCAAAATGCTAATTCTGTTCTGCGCCAGGTAAGATTGAATATGTACCTGTCATATCATGTAAGAGTTGCATATAGTCTGTTCTCCAAGAAGTGCAAATGGCTTTTTTGCGCTAATCACAGAGTAGAATTGTTGAAGTAAGCACTGTAGACTTGAGAAAAGCTGCGGTTGTACATTTTTAGTCGGTAGTCACGGATAAGTTAGAAACAAGTACGCATTTGTTGTCGATATGTGATGATCCCTTTAATTTATGGTCACAGTTTTATCTCTTGATTATTTTCTTACATGTTTGTAGGTGAAAGCATGGGCTCCAGTTCTAAACACGTTCTGCAGCAGCGGAAAGCTAGAGCTGGAGCTGATGTACAAGGTTCAAATGCAATGCTATGAAGATGCCAAGCTTATGAAAGTTTTTCCAGAAGTAGTGAGGTCGCTCTATGATCTAGATGTCCTCGCTGAAGACACCATCCTCCACTGGTTCCGTAAAGGAACCAACTCCAAGGGCAGGTATGCGCTTTGGTCCCATAACAAATATCTGGTGTCTGCAATTTACCTGATGGTTTTGTTCTCGTGGTAAATGTTACAGGCAAACCTTTGTTAAGAGCCTTGAGCCATTTGTGAATTGGCTTGAAGAGGCTGAGGAAGAAGAGTGAGTGAACCGTGTATCCAATAAAAAGCCTGCTCAGTATGTTTGTGTTTCTTTAGCTAAAGACAATAAATCAACAGAGTTTATATCTAAACTCTTTTCCTTGCTTTTGCTGCACTCTGTTTTTTCTTGATGTATTTTGGCAATAACCCTGCTATGAATCGATTGTATTTCCTTTTTGTGTTGAATACTTTATTCTCGGTTTTCAATATGGGTTTTTGAATGTTTTTTTGACAGCACTCACTTTTTGACAGCCCTCATTTAGGTATTCATATTTTATGATTCGGATCAAATTATTGTGGGTGTCGTTCTGATTAGGGTACTCATTTAATACTGTATGTAGAAGATCAAGTTCAAATATATTTTAAACTTTACAAATTTAGAAAAATATACAAAATATAACTTTTAAAATGTTTAACCAAATAATTAAATTTAACATGAAAATTGGTTTGGATATTTGGATGAAAATTTAGTTTGCATTTTATATATCTTTGTTATCAGAGATATTTTTAGATATTTATTTTTGATTACTTTTAAATAATTTTTTCATATATTCAAATATTTTGAATATTTTTTTTTGTATTTGAGATATTTTGTGCATATTAATCTAAACGTAATTATTATATCTAATCTATTTAGTTATGGTTTTATTTAAAAATTATATTGGTAAGTTTTTTAGACCTATTGAATAATGTTGTAACTAAATATAGTCCTAGGGAGAAAATCGGAACTGAAAAAATCAAACCGAAATATTCGAAATTGAAATCAGACCAGAATCTTCAAATACTTGTATTTCTATATACGAAAAACTAATCATGAACCGGAACCAAACGAGAACTAAATGATACCTAAATATCCAAAAAACAAGATTTAAGTTTTTTAATATAAAGTAAAATAATGTCAAACTCACTTGAATCTAAGTTGGACATGAAGAGTGAGAACATTGTTACTACTTGACCATAATATCATTTATCTACTATCTTATTTTATAAATATATATTATATTCTATATTAAAATATAGTAAATATTTATAAAATTAACACTTTATTGACTCTAACTCTTGTTGGATTGAAAAATTTGTAAGCGTGTAAAAACTAGAGCATTGAAATTAATATATTAACTAATATATTTTATATTTATATATTTGATTCACATATTAATCGGGTACCGGAACCGAACCGAAATCTCATAAGTATCTATTGGGTATGGAAATTGTTTACTCGATATATCCGGAACCAAATTGTTCCTACCCGATACCAAAACCAAACCGAAATATCTGAATACCCAGACTTAACTAAATATATAGACATGCTTATTTTTATAACTTCATTAATGTAATCTACTCAATTAAATCTTTAATAGCTTTACAATAACATACAAAATTTTCATTCATATTTCTCGGTTTATACATCGTACTAAAACAATGTTCCATCATGTCTACCATCTAAATTGAGTATTTACTTTCTCTATCAACCAAATAAAACATGCATATAAGCTAACATATATAACATCTATGGTGGATCATCCTTGACATAACACAAAGAATCATCTTACTCATGCTATTAACTTATATTCGGCTTACCTTAATACATTGGATCAACAAACCATTGAATAAGCATACTTCATAGTTTACCTTTCATGAATAACTTATCACATTTAGTCTTTCCAATCTTGTGATGTTAGGCGTCCGACTAGATCTGAACGTGAGTCCCTGTCTTAACCACTTATTCCTCTCACATTGAATTATCTCATGTTTATAGTTTATCTTAATATTTCTCATTATTCCCTGTATGAGGGTCTTCATTATTCACAGGAGATAATGAAGACATTCAACCAGAGCCTGAACCAGACCTAACTGAACCTGATATCCAAGACATGAGCAAGATAACTAAACCAGAGTTAGTTCAAGAAGTGCATGTACAAACTGTATTCAAGGGAGCTATTACCAGACAAAGAGTTAAGATACTCCAACATAAGTTTAATGAGAGCATGATACTTGCTTCTGATCCTAGACAGGTTAAATATACTAATAAAGTTGCTGAAGATAACACCAAGATAGATGCCCTGAAGATGGGAGAATTAAGCTTGAAGAGTGGTGGACCGGTTGAGCACATCAAGGCATCAAGTAAAGACTATGGCTATTCATTCCGTACCAAGGCCACAGCAACCTGATGATCATTACCATAGAAGATCAACTTGCCTAGCAAGATTCTTGGACTGAACAAGTAAGTAGGCTAAGCTCTTTGTGTGTGCTCTTTTCCTTGTTCTTGGTTTTGTCCCGATTGGGTTTTTACGGAGGAAGGTTTTTAACAAGACCACAACCTGCTTTACACATTTCCTAGGTGCTATCTCTGTCCAAGTCTATGAAGACTTATGTCATTATCTTATGTTGTCATTTTAGACTATAGTTTTATGATTTACATTTCCTTGACCTAAAGGAGTCTGTTCCTTTAGTTCTTATTTATATGTTTTCGCAAACCCCTTTTTTAGGTAGCATTTTTTAAACATAAACTTTTCTTCTAAAAGAAAACCCTAGAGCTCTCAAGCAAGAACTCGCCTCCTTCTCTCTGCCTTGTGAGACCAGTACCTCCATGGCCTAGAGAACCTCTGTGTTGTATCACGAGCCTTCCATCTCTCGTGTGGTGCACTTCGATCCATCCAGCTGTTCCTGTCCAGATCCTCTTGGTTAATTAGATCAGTTCATCCGGATCACCCTTGTGCTAGATCGTCTCCTTCTCTCTTTCTTGGGATCATATAGCCTTTGATAGCTTAGGCTTGTATAATTTCTGGTATCAGAGCTGAAGTTCCTTCAGCATCAGGTCGTTTCTATCCTTTATACATCTTTTGTTTCATTCGTTTTTTTGCATCTATAAATCGAAAATCATAAATATAATTTGTGTTCTTCATTCATATAGTTTCTTCTTGCATAAACTTTCTACATTCATATAGATTCTTCTTGCATAAACTTATTAGAAATCCCATAAAAATTGTATGTTTCTTGTTTGCATCTAAGTAATTTATCATTCTCATCTTGTTGCACTCGTTTGTTACACCCTCTAGCCGCATCTCATTATAAACTATCCATCGCTTGTCCCTCCATTGCATCTAGTTGTTTGTTTGATAAAACCCATAAAACCCTAAAACCCATAAAGAGTTGTGTTCTTCGTAGAGTTCATCTAGCCCTAGCCCCTGTCGATTTTACTAGTTAGATCTTGTTCTGCATCATAAAAAACCCTAAAACTTGTTTGTCAAAAACAAAGAAAATATAACTTTTACTTATTTCGTATTTTTACTTTTCATTTTTTTTAAAAAGGAACAAGCATCACATCTTTTCCAATTCTTGTTTTCCTTTTTGCTTTCTCGTCCAGAAACTTAAGTTTTCTTGTTTTCTTTTCTAGGTTTACTTGAAATTGACCATGTGAGAAGCAAGCGAACAAGCCTCCATGATGCAGATGTTTGCGGCCATGTGAGAGGACATGAGAGCCATGCACCAAGACTTTGGAGATAGGCTCACCAGGATGGAACAAAGACCTCCTCCTTTGCGACCAATCCGGAATGTTGATAGGTTCCTCAACCCAAACAACATAAGAGATGGTGCGCTTCAATGATAACCCGGAGACTAGTACCCGGAACCAAGAGGATGATGCAGACACCGGCCAGCAGCATGCTCCTAATCCAAACCAGAGAGCAGGCCTTCAACAAGATGACTATGGTGATGAAGAACAAGAGGAATTCATGCCCCCACCTAGAGCTCTACGCCGGAAAAACAGACACCAAGAGTTTGAATAAGAGGACTACTTGCCTCAATTTAGAGGTCCTCACCAGCAGAACCACAACCAGGGACCGTGCCATATCAAGATGACTGTCCCAAAATATGCTAGAAAGGTCGATCCAGAAGCTTACCTTGATTGGGAGAAGAGAATGGATCACTTCTTTACCTATTATAACCACCCTGTCCCCAAAAGAGTTGCTTTAGCAGTAGCTCATCTCACGGACAGTGCTCTGTCCTGGTGGGATAGATTGTGTTCCGACAGAAGGAGTAACTTTAGGCAACTAGATTTATGGCTGTACATGAAGGATGCTATGAGGCAGAGATTTGTTCCACAACATTTCAATAGAGATTTGCAGAGGAAGTACATATCACTTAAGAAACAAATCAAGTCAGTGGAGGGGTATTATGAAGAGTTTGAGAAGCTGAGAAACCGCCTAGACCTTAATGAGGATGAAGAGGCTACTATGGCTCAGTTCATTGATGGGTTACAAGAAAGGATAAGTTGCAAGGTTGAGAGGCAGACTTACACTGACATGAAGGACCTATTCCACTTAGCATTCCAAGCAAAGCAACACATCAAGAAGAAGAGCTCCAAAGGCAAGTCTCAATCCACTTGGAACTCAAGCAACAACAACTACAACAAACAAGTGGACAAAGGAAAAGGAACTGAAGGAGATAACCGGCCTAAGACTCGTCCCACTGAACCTAACAAGGACACCAGAGCAGAACCAGGGAACAACACTAACCCCCAGTGTTCCAGAGATATAACTTGCTTCAAGTGTAGAGGCTGAGGACATATGGCAAGAGAATGTCCAAACCATAGGGTCATGATGCTCACTGAAGATGGTGCTTATGAGTCTCATGATGAAGATGATCTGTTGGTTCAAGAGGAACTTGGAGAAATTGAATATCCAAACGTGGGAGAGAGCTTGATGATCAGGCATGTGCTTAATGTCCAGATGCAACCAGCTGAAACCATCCAGAGAGAGAACATATTTCACAGCCGATGTACCATCAGAGACAAGGTATGTAATCTTATTATAGTATGGTGGGTCTTGCACTAATGCTGCTAGTGCTTATATGGTGGGTCTTGCACTAACTGCTAGTGCTTATATGGTAGATAAACTTGGTTTAGAGAAGACTAAGCATCCGCATTTATAAAGACTAAGATGGCTAGATAATAAGGTTGAGCTATAAGATAAAGAACAAGTTACCATTCCACTTAGCATTGGTAAGTATCAAGATGAAGTAACATGTGATGTTAGGTGGACATGTATATGGATGGGATAGAGAAACTAAACATGATGGTAGGTCTAACATTTACACTTTCATGCATGATAAGCGCAAGGTTAGCTTAGCACCTCTCACACCAACACAAGTTCATGAACTGCATTTACAAATGGTTAAAGAGAAAGACAAATCTATTAAGTCTAATTTTCTTATTAGGCCTAGTTGTAC